CAAGAGAAAGGACCGGTTCCTTGCTAAATCTTGGGCATTTCTCAATCATCTTTATGATACCACATTCAACCTGTGTCGTCCCAAGGCATTGGGATAGGGACTCCCAGCATTCCTAGCTGAAAGGAGAGAGAATTGGAATTATGGGGGCTGCAGTCTGAACACACATCACGGGCATCTAGTTAGGACAGCCTGTCCCAAATAACAGCAACGTCTTCTGTTCAGCATGTTGCTGATCAATTGACCAAGAATATCTATGACTTGTCTTCCTTGTTCAGTAGTTTTATTTCAGGAAGAGAATTCTGGGAGTTGAAGTCCACAAGTCTTAAAGTTGCCATGTTTGGGGACCCCTGGCATAACCCCTATTTCTTGCCTATCGTCCCTGTCACATTTCGATTTTTTTATTTTGTGGGTTCAAATTTGCAATTTTTGTTTGACAAAGCCCACGAGGAGAGAGGAAAATTTCTGAGGTAAAAAAATATCCTGTCAGCGCTAAGAGTTGTGCTGCAAAATGGAGGACACGAGGTCTTTGCAGGCTTCTTAGGTGTCCATTTCGCCGCCAGTAGAGGGCAGTCTACCATCTAGCCTTTAAGGCAGTGAAACGGATAGCTAAAAAGCCTTCAAGGACCCCACGTCCTCCATTTTCTGGCACAAGTCAGCCATGACTGGAAAATTTTTACCTCAGAAATTTTGTCTCTCAATTTTTTTTCTCTCCTTGTGGGCTTCTTTCCTCTTCAGCCTGGAGTGCAGGTAGGGAGTTTTAAAATGGGTTAAAATGCAAAGGATGGAGGGATGGATGAGTTTTTTTTAAAATTGTTTATACATTTGTACTGTGTATTGTCTGGATCCATTTCTTCATTCAAATTATAATTTAAATAATTATTAATAAACCACTACTGAGTAATAATAACAACAACCATAATTACAATAGTAATAATTGCTTATTTATGATAAAATTCTTACATCTTTTACTTATAATATGCAATAATGATAACACTAATAATAAAAATAATGATGATAATAATTAATACAAATTTTTGCTTGCATGTTACAACTTCTTATTATATATTATACAATGTTTTTATATATTTCCTATTTTTATTATTAATCGTTCATCTTCTAGTTTCCACCCCTTTTATCCAACCATTGAGAGAACATATCCCATGTTGAAAAGTATTCTGTTTCTTCCTTATCCTTTATACCTAATGTTAATCTATCCATCTCTGCACAGTCTGAAATTTTTCTAATTATACTTTTATCTGTAGGTACGTCTTCATTTTTCCATTGTTGTACAAAATACAATTCTTGCTGCCAATAATACATGTATTATTAAATATGTAGTCCCTTTGATATCATTTTCTGATAATATACTAACAAAGAATCTTCTGGTTTTAAATCTATGTGTTGTTTTATCATTTTCTCTAACCATGTGTGTATTCTCATCCAGAATTTTTTAGTTTTTGGACAAGTCCATAACATGTGGTAGAAGGAACCGGGTATTTGGTTACATTTCCAACATTTTGCAGACATATTTTTAAACATCTTTGCTAATCTTGCTGGTGGCAAATGCCACCTATAAAACATTTTATACAAGTTTTCCTTGTAGGTAGTTGTCATTGTTTATTTATAATTTCAGTCACAAAGCTTCTGCCATTTATCTAATTCTACAGTATATCCAAAGTTTTTTGCCCACGCTATCATTATTTCCTTTACCTGTTCAGCTTCCATTTTATATTTTCTTTATTAATTTTCCATTCGTCCCTAAAAATATCTGATCAAGTATAGTTGGTTCTTGGTGGATGGATGGATAACTGATGCGTGGGTGGGAGGATGGATGGATGGATAGATGATCAATCAAGAGATATGATGATAGAGAGCAAGAGACAAAGTCAGATAGAGAGAAGATAGAAATTTAGGAGCAGAGGGAGGATTTAGTTTTAGCAGCTAATTGGCCCCTCTCTATTAGAGTGGAGCCATTCTAATCTCTGTGGGAATGATGTTCCAGAGAGAGGGAGCCAGCAACCAGCACCTTGAATTGCACCCGGAAGCAAATGCAGCTCCCGCAGGAGCTGTAGACTACCTACCTGAATCGGGAGGCTCTCACAACAGTCACTCAGGCCCTTGTGACCTCTAGGCTGGAATACTGCAATGTGCTCTACAGGGGGCTGCCCTAGAAGAGCATCCGGCGTCTTCAGCTAGTCCAGACCGCGGCCGCGCGAGTGATCGTGGGTGCTCCTC